ACGGGTTCCCACCCCCAGCGCACTCCCTGTGGCGTCGAGGAATTGCCACGCCTGCCACGCCCTGCGAGCCTGCAACGCATAGGGCCCCCACCCCCAGCGCACCCCCTGTGGCGTCGAGGAGATGCCACGTCTGCCACGCCCTGCGAGCCTGCAACGCATAGGGCCCCCACCCCAAGCGCACCCCCTGTGGCGTCGAGGAGATGCCACGCATGCCACGCCCTGCGATCCTGCAACGCATAGGGTCCCCACCCCCAGCGCACCCACTGTGGCGTCGAGGAAATGCCAAGCCTGCCACGCCCTGCGAGCCTGCAACGCATAGGGCCCCAACCCCCAGCGCACCCCCTGTGGCGTCGAGGAAATGCCACGCCTGCCACGCCCTGGGACCCTGCAACGCATAGGGCCCCCAACCCCAGCGAACCCCCTGTGGCGTCGGGGAAATGCCACGCCTGCCACGCCCTGGGAGCCTGCAACGCATCATAGGGCCCCCACCCCCAGCGCACCCCCTGCGGCGTCGAGGAAATGCCACGCCTGCCACGCCCTGGGAGCCTGCAACGCAGAGGACCCCAACCCCCAGCGAACCCCCTGTGGCGTCGAGGAAATGCCACGCCTGCCACGCCCTGGGAGCCTGCAGCGCATAGGGACCCCACCCCCAGCGCACCCCCTGTGGCGTCGAGGGAATGCCACGCCTGCCACGCCCTGGGAGCCTGCAACGCATAGGGCCCCCACCCCCAGCGCACCCCCTGTGGCGTCGAGGGAATGCCACGCCTGCCACGCCCTGGGAGCCTGCAGCGCATAGGGCCCCCACCCCCAGCGCACCCCCTGTGGCGTCGAGGAAATGCCACGCCTGCCACGCCCTGGGAGCCTGCAACGCATGGGGCCCCCACCCCCAGCGCACCCCCTGTGGCGTCGACTAAATGCAACGCCTGCCACGCCCTGGGAGCCTGCAACGCATAGGGACCCCACCCGAAGCGCACACCCTGTGGCGTGGAGGGAATGCCACGCCTACCACGCCCTGCGAGCCTGCAACGCATAGGGCCCCCACCCCAAGCGCACCCCCTTGTGGCGTCGAGGGAATGCCACGCCTGCCACGCCGTGGGAGCATGCAGCGCATAGGGCCCCCACCCCCAGCGCACCCCTTGCGGCGTCGAGGAAATGCCACGACTGCCACGCCCTGGGAGCCTGCAACGCATAGGGCCCCCACCCCCAGCGCACCCCCTGTGGCGTCGAGGAAATGCCACGCATTCCACGCCCTGGGAGCCTGCAAAGCATAGGGCCCCCACCCCCATCGGACCCCCTGTGGCTAAAAGGAAATACCACGCCTGCCACGCCCTGGGAGCCTGCAACGCATAGGCCACCCCCTACGGACAATGCTGCGTGATCAGGGTATGTGTTTGTTTGTGTCTGTTTGTATGTGTGCGGTGTGTATATGTGCTGTGAATATGTGTGTACTGTCACAAACACCCCTGTGTGCGGCCGCGGTGAGGGACCACACCCTGCGCACCCCCTAAGCGGAGCTGTGCTGTGTTGTGCTGTGCTGCGTTGGGCTGAGCTGTGCTGTGCTGTGTTGTGCTGCGCTGTGCTGCGCTGTGCTGTGCTGAGATGAGCTGAGCTGTGCTGACCTGTGCTGTGCTGTGCTGTGCTGAGCTTAGCTGAGTTGTGCTGAGCAGTGCTGTGAGGAGGAGGGGAAGAGTGAGGTGTGAGGGTAAATGTCGCGGGTGCGGCGCGGCAGAGAAGAAAACCAGAACCCCACGAAGCATGTGGGGAAAAACCTCGACCATTGAACTTGCCGATCGAACCCTGGCCCCCCCGACAATCCCGGAGTCGTGTTCCTGGAGTCGCACTCTGGAAAAGCCTCCACCCTACGGGCACGAATACAGTATCCCTACTACGCCATGGAACCCCCCAAGCCCTGGACTCACATCCTTGAAAAACCTCTGCCTTACGGACAGGGGTGGAATTTTCCTGGCAACGACCTCGCACCCCCCAAAACCGGGACTCGTGAATGTGAAGGGCCTTCATCCTACGGGCATGGCTGGAGCCCCCGTTGCAGCGTCGCACCCTGAAAAAAGGCCCCACCCTGATGGTCGCACTATGCACGGCCGCCGCCCCGTGGGCATGCGCGGAATTTCACGACCACGCCCTGGCGCGCCCCAAACCCGGGAGCCTCACCCCTGGAAGAGCCTCCACCCCACGGACAGGACGGAGCCTCGCGACCGCGCTCTGGGAAACCCAAAGCCTGGACTCGCGCTCTTGAAGGGCCTCTACCCTACGGGCAAGGCGGAATTTCACGATCGCGCCCTGGCAGGCGGCGACGCCTCTACCATGGGCGGCCCCACCTGGGCAGGGAGGCCGAGCGCGCGCCCGGCGCCCCGACGGCGGCGGCCGCCGCCGCGACCCCCGCGCAGCCGCCTACGACGCGGCCCCCCCGGATTCGCCACCGCAACTCCCGACCAAGATCCTTTTTGCCAAGCGACGAGGACTGGGCTTGAAACTCCGACCCAGGCCCCCGATCCGAGAAGCGGGCCGCGCAGCAGGCGCGAACTTAAACCGGCGCGAAAGCTGATCCGTCTCACGCGCGCCCGGCGCACCATCAGTGCAGGCCGCCAAA